GGAAAGAATTCAACATAAAGAAAATTTAAATGTCCCAATGTAAATATTTATTTGACATGAATACGTCTGAAACTAATGCTATAAATGCGTTTTAAAAATTGTTTGAATATCTCCGCGAATTTCGCACCAAATTTTACAAAATTTAAATACCTAGGCATAATTTGAGTCGTAGAAAAGAAATGTGCAAAACAAATTTATGTTATTTCAGAAAAAGTCCGATTTTGTGTCAAAATATGTATGTTAGAACAATACTATATATAAATCTAATATATATCCTAAGTCGCGCTTTCGAGACATGAAAAAAAGCAATTTGAATTTTGTCAATCGGCCCAGTAGAACGGAAGATATATAACTGCCCCCCTTTTTTTTTTGCCCAGTGTACTTTTTTTTAGTTGCTCAATTTTTGTATATAATTAGTAAAATCTCTGATTCGAGCAAATAGATTTTTGTGAACCTATTGCTTCTTTCAGTACCCTTTCAGTTATTGTTTCAAAATTTCAATTACTGAAATGTTCTAGAAAATATTGTTAATTTTAAATTGTTGTAGATTTCTTGCAGTATAATGAGTCTTAAATCCTTGCAGCATTTCGAAGTGTTTCATGACTATAACACTGATATTAAGACAACTGATAACTGTTATTTGAAACAACAGTTATGTATCTTTTACTTTAAATAAAAAATTAGAAATGAACATTCTTTGGAAGAAAGGCATGTCTGAATAGGCAGCCGATTGTAAACGCATTTTTAACCGAAAGAAATAATGTTATGGATTGAGTGTTATACGAAAATTTTGCATGTTACTATGAAATCTTTCTTAAAAAGAACTCTTAGTGGTTTTGATAATGCCATATTATTTTAACACATAATTTTTAACACATTAATGTTCGAACATGCTTTCATTTTTTTTTTTTTTTTTTTTTTTTTTTTTTTTTTTTTTTTTTTTTTCTTTTTTCCGCTCCGATATTTATTTTGGAAGAGTCCAAAAACTTAGATGCCACTTGGTTAAATCTTGTTCTAAACATATTAAGTATTCTTTTTCTTCAGAATCCATAAATTCAGTTGCAACACTGGATAAATAAATCATCAGTACATTCATTTTGTGAAAACGTATTTGCTTTTCCATTATTATAGTGTTTAATTTTATTTGCTAAATTATTTACTAAATATTAAGAAACTGGAAAGTCCGATACACAAACACCGAACCATCGGCTTTGCGCACGACACCAACTTGGTACATTGGACATTATCCGCCTTTTTGCATGCAACAGTAACTTGGAAACATGGACCTCGGTCCGCCATTTTGCGCGCCGGTATACTGTCTGTCTACGAGACGAGCCCCGCCACAGTGTCTGGCAGGCGGTGGTCGCTATAGTAACAGGGCTAGTGTATTTCAAATAGGGACAAACCAAGTGTTGCCAATTCATCTTTAAAGAATTAAGTAACAGTAAAAAAAAAAAAAAAAGTTTAAAAAAAGGTAAATCTTCAAGCCACCCCAACGGAAAATGGGTCAAGACTTGTATCTACGGCAACAGACAGCTGCAGACTAACTGGCGAAAGCTTTTTTTATGATAGACAGACTATAGTGACAGCGGCATTTATTCGTGAGTTTCGCGTCCGACACCAGTCTGGAAAAGTAGTATTTATCCTCCAACTTTTTGTGTGCCATGTGATGGGAAATTATAGAAGCTGCTGCAATCGTTCTAACCTTCAACAAGTACCACCCAGATCATTCAACGGCCATTAGCATCGATGACTACTTACTGAAGATTTAACAAAAGATTAACATTTTCATATTTTAAAACATTTTAGTAATAAATGCGCATCTTGTTTTAGAACTAATTTAACACACTAATACACTAACAGATAAATAATATTTTTGAGGTGCTCATTCTAGTAGCATTTTCTCTTAACTACAAATCATCAACTTAATTTCCATACAGAAGATCCTTTCTAAATTTTGTATAAACTTAATCTCCTTCTCCGTCTTTGCTTTGTTTTTTTCACAGCCTGGATTGGATCTGGCCGATGTTTAGGAAGTGCTCTTTTTAATAATTCGAAAGCGGGGTATCTATCTGTGCCACGTAAGAGATTCATCGGAAATAAAGAGTATATATTTTACACCGATCTTCTGTCAATATTTTCTAGGAATTTAGGTATAGATGGTGAGAAGACTTTGGTGAATTTCAAATCCTTTTATTTTGAGCGGATAAATGAACGAGATTTACTGAATTAAGACTACTTTCTCGCGTATTTTTTCTCCTAGCTTTTTGGCTCCAGGGTCTGAAACTTTTGCTTTCAGTGAACGAGGAATTAGTCCGCGTAGTGATTATTTTTGTTTTACTAACAACGACAAACCTTCGCAAAAGTCAGGCTGAAGTTTTCCTTCCCAATTGTTAAACTTTATATAGCATGAACACCATGCTTTATATAGCATGAACTTTATATAGCATGAAGGTTAAAGCTTTATATAGCATGAACACCCATTACAGCGAAGCAAACTCGAACTAACATTCAGTCTAGTACTACGCTGAGTCAATTAAGTGCACATTCACCTTCTCTAATTATTTATGGATGATTTGAAGCTTAAGGAATAACAGAGACAACAATAAGAAGAGTCGAGATTCGAGTTACAAGGCAGTAGAAATGAAGATATTTTATTAGATTTTGTAATGTTAATATTGTTTTGTATTTTTGTTAGAAAGTAGGTTTCTGTTAAAGATATAACGTTGTGACAGTTACCCGCCATTTATCCACGATTTCTTTTCATTTGTTATGTTCTTGCTGTAACTGCACTACTCGAAAATTAAATTATTCGCGGAATTTTCCCGTCTCGATTTTTGGAAGATAAAATTTATAAAAAAAGGTATAATACGGGAGGAAATACGGTACATTGTTTTGATGAACAGTTTTGATTAGTTTTCTTGATTTTAGAAAACTAATCAAAACAATTTGAACAGCAAAACAATTTCAACTCTTGAAACCATGTATTCAAAACTTTTTATTCTCTTTTATGACAGTAAATAGCTTTCAGTAAGAATAATTGAAATACAGCCATACTTTATCTATGGTCTCATCAAATTACTATTTCTCAAGCGTTAAACTATTTTTATAAAAAATTCTCTATTTGGTCTTACATGACTGTAAAAGACGAATGTTATTTTTTTTTAATTTAGTGCCATGTTTATTATTATATTTTCAATACAGACAGACATTTTAAAAGCTGATGATATCGCCCTTTGCGTAAGTGGGTTCTTGTTTAGAACCATAGATTTAATTTTTAAAATGATCTTTTAATTTTTAAAGATGATTTAATTTTAGATTTCATTTTTAAAATGACGGGTTTATTTATAAGCAATTAGCTCTCTAATTCAGAAGCCAAACAACAAAAATCAGCGTTAATTTTCAAAATTTGCACAGTACTAGTTTCGATGGTTTTACCGAACCACCATTCCTCAGCTGCAAAGCCGCAAATGAACAAGATAGGAAATAATGATTAGATAAGATAAAGAAAGCCTGGACAAGAATTCTTGTCCTGTGAAAATTTTGAAAATAAACGCTGATTTTTGTTGTTTGACTTCTGAATTAGTATTTATTCGGCGTGTTATTGTGTCTTAATTGGCTCTGTATTTCAAGTACAAAGTAATAATTGTTAAAATTTTTCCTTTGTTATGAATGATACTCTACTTTGATGATGCTTTGCTGTACTGTTAAATATCTTGATTTCAGTACTTCTTTGTCTTTTTATACTGAAAAATTAGAATATCTTTCTTCGGAAAAACGTCGAAAATTCTACTCGAAGCCCTTGATAAAAGACGTTCCAATGCGATGGAGTACTTTCTCAGTTTCGAAAGGATGCAAAGAGTTCTCTGAATGACAAGTTTCCAGGCCGATAGATTGAATGAGGTGGTCCCAAACATTGGCTACCACATACCTTATCTGCTGAGTAAAAGCAGAAGGATTTCAAAGGACTTCCTTTATTGCAGTGGTCTGAAACTGAATCCATAATTTTCTCGAGGTATGCTTTTATACAGTAGGTTTATAGCTGGTATATACCAGAAGAATAGTTGATACAATTGCTGCAAAGTATGCGGGGGATATCTGCAGGAAGATAGATGCCTTTGTGGAAGACCTTTTACTAAACTCTATATACTTCTTACTAAACACCTGCAGTATCATGAGAGACCAATTTTAAAGTTTTCATACAAAAGTAGAGCTTTATTTAGCGAAGCATTTCTCGTTTCAAAGATTCATGAAAACTAGTTTCTAATAATCAACATGATGAAAGAATATTTTTGACTCTGTGGTCTAGCTCTGCATTTTCTCTGTGATATATCTATTCCGTTATTGATATATAAGACAATTTTCCGTGTCTTGTACAGTCTTGTACAGTTCTGTGTTTTCTGTGTCTCCCAAGTTCACCTAATCTGCGGTGTCTAAATTTCTTTAGAGACATCTCAAGAGCCTCATCAATGAGTATGGGCTTGGATATGATGCAACACTTTTCATTAGATGCAACACTCTTCATCAGTGCTGCAGCTATGTGAGATATATGTGGTATGTTTGAGGAAGTCCACCAATCCTTTCACCGACATTATGTACTGGTCGTTATTATTCAATTGCAATTTTTCGTCAAAAAGAATGGCACAGAAGATGAAAAATAACTTTCGAAAAACGCTATTCTTTCATCTTCTGTGACATTCTTTTGTTTGCGCCTCATCTCCACGACTTCAACCGTCAGGCGCCCCCTAGTATCTTTATGTTTCAATTTCGATCGTACATTCTGTAAACCTCCTTTTCGGAAAAAAAAAAAAAAAAAAAAAAAAGATTGTTTTGGTTTGCTTTACCACGAATTAAAGTTCGTCTCATATGTTTTGAAACACATCTATGTATGGGTTATTGTTCAAAGAGTACCCTATCTAAAATTTAAACAACATGGAATTAATTGTTTGGGCCTTCTGCTTTTTGAAAGCTAGCTTACCTCAGTAAATTACTTTTCCCAGGTTGCGCCATGTCTGACAGTCCAGCTGGTATGGCAGCCTACCTTTTGGAAAAGGTTCCCTTCTGCGTGAATCGCGAATACCTTAAATTACCGGATGGTGGTCTGACCAAGAATTTCTCAATGGACGAGTTGTTGACTAACGTTATGATGTATTGGATAAATAATAATTTCACAGCTGCTGCCAGATTCGAGAAAGCCAATTTAAAAGATATGTGGACCAGGATACATGAGAGGTAATTGCAATTTTTATTTCAGCAAATCCATAAATTGCTATTTAATAAAATGTATTAATATAATAATAAGGGACATTTCCGACGCCACATTTTATGTTCCTTATGCAGAATTCCACTCTAATTTTCTTCCTGTATTATGACATCTACATTAATCATCAAAAGATACAGAAGGTATACATTTTTAGAATGGTTTCGGGGCCTTGTAGTTAATGCTTAAAATGTAAAGAGTAGTTTTTAAATCTTCGATCTGATTTTTTTTTTCTGGACTACACGTCTGCATCGTCATTTCCATAACAGAAAGTTTTTCCGTAAAATAAATTTCATAATAGAAGGGCATTTTTGTAAAACTGATTCCATAATAGAAGGGCATTTTTGTAAAACTGATTCTATAATAGAAGGGCTTTTCGTAAAACTTATTCCATAATAAAAGGGCTTTTCTTAAAGTTTATTCCCTAATAGAAGAGCTTTTCTTAAAATTTATTCCATAATAGAAGGGCTTCTATCAAAATTTACAGGGGTTATTAATTTCCATTATTTTCCACTACTTTCTAGATTCCATCAATCGTGGTGAGTTTTCACTCAGAAAGAGCCTTTTTCAAGAGATCACAGAGACAATACCCTATAGGCGAAACTTCAGCGGACTTCGTACGAAATAATATTAAAATATATATATATATATATATGCAATACCTGTACCAGTCTTCATTTTTTCAAATAATGTAATGCCACTTTCCGAAGTATGAATTGTTGTTTTGTCTTGATGAAGTTTCAAGTCATTCAGATAAAGAAATATAAATTTTTCTGCAAATATTAGCCGTAAAACTTTCTCTTGATAGTATGTTGAGTTGATATGAACATTTTTTTCTTACTTTTAATTTCCCACTGTAAGAGAATACTGCGAGAATCCTAAATTCCTTTCTGAAACTTTCTTTACATTAGTGGAACCAGGTTTTTACATTTTTTGCTCTTTATTTTCGATGATAAATAAGTCCTTTTTTGCAGTCATTTAGGTAAATCCATGCTTCATAAAGAGTCGCAATGTATTTCCATTTATCTCCTGCTAAACACTATTTATACAGAATTCTACAAATAGCCCTGCGTTGAGCACCATGCCTTCGCAAATGCTGGTGAACATTGTTTTATATCTTTTTAATGTTGTAAATCTTAATGCATTGTTGTGTTTATTGTTGCTAAAGCTGTATTTAAAAATTTTTCAATTCATTTCTGCATCGACGGATTTTCTCTTGTTAGCAACGATTTAATTTTAGAAACATTCGAAACAGTATACATTTTTTTGGGTGTTCGTTTTATACTTAGAAATTTTTATATCATGAATTTAAATAATGGAATAGGAATATTTCTCTTCGAAAAGCGCAAAACCATATTCTTTAATCCACAGGTTATTTACATGCACCATTTTTAAAGAAAAATAACTTTAAAAATAGTGAACGACGTTGTTCATTTTAAATAATCAGCTGTTGCCAGAAATGTTTCATCCAAAATATTTGCTTTTTTAAAAAATTCTTTATTGAAATCGTTTTAAAAGCGTGTGAACTCGCTCTGTAGCGCTAATCACAAAATTATAAACCAATATATAGACCACAGTCATGTGCATGTTGGTTCTTTTGATTTTTTTAAAGATGTTATATTGTTAGATGTTTATTGTATAAAGTTTGTTTTAAAATATTCGCACGATCAAATAACTCTTTAATTCCTGCACATAGATCCATTGTTCTAGTTTAAAGAATGAGTCAAGTAAGGGAGATTCGCAGTATGACACTTCTGGTTACATGACACCATTTAGTGAAAATAAACTTTAAATTTCTATACAGGCCTTGTAGGAAAAAAATGTGTCAGTAAAAAAATATATTCCATTTGGCAATTAGTTACAAAAATAAAATTTATATTATTAAAATTGCTCGCTATATCTTTGTGAATGATGCCTGAGATGATATTTTAAGACTTCACGTCTGATAAATACACATGTATTTAATGCCCCGTCGTTGAATCTTGTTCACCTGAAGATATTATTCGAGTATGGGAAAGAAGCGTAGGCTTAAGTGAAACTAGTAAATCACTAAATAAACTGTTTGCTTTAATGAACTAATCTGAAGCATGAGGTAAAGTTACAAAATCTCTATTTAGAGAAACAAGATTTCGATTTCAATTCGATTTAAATCAAATATTCTACCTCTCCATTTGCTAATGAAACGCAAAATATTCCTGCAGAGACTCCGTGAAATAAAATGTCTGTTTTTTCTGTGGAAAGAGAAATAATCCACGAGTATGTGGAACTGCATTAGAAATAACTTAAGATGATAAGAGAAAATTACTGTCGAAGAAATTGTTTTTTATTTTTATTTTTTTTAAATTTAAATTTGGGCATAGGCCTCGAGAATGCAAATGTAAAAATAATTGTGGCAACTATAAGGGCAGAAATTGTGCAGAAAAATTAAAGGGACATAAACAACAAAAAAGAAATACTTCAGGTGTGAAACTGATTAGTGATGCAGCATTAAGTAATCGAACATGTACGTACATGTGAAGGCCTTTAACAAACGTTATATGGGAGATTATGGAGTACAAATGGAAGGAAAATAATTGGTGTTCTTATCGATTTGGACTCACAGCGATCTTATTTCAGCAAATGTGTAGTAAGGGAAATTCAGTACCAAAAAATTAAGGCGTAGAATATTTTTCATAATTTATATGGTGGCAAAGAACATTCCGAGAAAGAATTTAAATGCAGGGTATATTTAAGCAGGCTAAATGGTGATTATCACTGCAATTGTAAAGACCTCAAGCAGCAGGAAATTTTTCCCACATCCCTATTCTAGGATCACATGTGGCTTTTTGTCAATGGCATTATTATGACAGATCCTTGGAAAGGATAAATCGTTAAAAATAGATCTATTAATAGAGCATAATTTACGGGAAAGCTCTTTAATAGAAAAATTTACGTTTGTCGTGCGGGCTGGTACCTGTTCGAACATAAATAAGGTTGACTTTGATGTGAAAGATTCTCTACGCAGATGTTGATGCTAATTCTACAATAAGAGTAACAATTATGCTTGATGCTGATGTAGCTATCGCACAATTATGGAGACTTGATTTTATCGGAATAAACGATCCGGCTACAAAGAAGACAAGAGAGGAAAGAGATTTACTGACAAGAATCTACCACCCATAAATTTCTTTCAAAAACTTTGTTTTTTTCATACGGTTAAGTTTATAAACCGGTAATAAAAGAAAATAGCTCAACGATAACTCAAACAGTGTTGATGCTTCTAGCGCGAGCAAAATCGTCTTTCTCTCTAAATTCACTAATTTAGAGACGGTTTGGAGTTCGATTCAAATTTAATAGAACTAATTCCTTCTCTTCTGTTGAGATTTCGTGAAGATAAATTTTCTACTATAACATATATCGAAAACGCTTATTTACAAATCAATGTAAATCCTTAAAACAGAGAATGGCTTCAATACTTTTTATGAAAAATTTCTTCATTTTAGAGTAGTGTTTGGCGTCAACAATAGTCTTTTCCTTTTGACAGCTATTGTAGAATTCCATCTACAAAAGTACAGGAAAGATTTTCATTATGAAACGGAAATGATATCTAAATTCCTGGATAGCATCTGCGTAGATAAAATCGTTGCCAGTTTTAATAATGAATCAGAGATGATTCAGTTCATCGAAAAATCTCCAGAATTAATGTATAAAGGAAAGTTTAATCTTCGACGCTGGTTACGTACCGAAGATGACTTAGAACAACAAACTGTTTCACTCGTATTTGGCCTGCTGTGGAACTGTCAGAAATACAAATTAACTTTGAATCTGACTTGGTCAACGATTTCAAAATGAATGAAGTAACGAAGGAACAATTTTTGCTGTAATACAAAAAATATTTGATCTTGCTGGATTTGTGAGTCCTGTTCTCTTGTATCCTAAAATACTGTTGCAGAATCTATGGAAAATAGGAATTTCTTGGGAAATCATAAAAGGAAACTTTACGAATTGATATAAAGATTTTTTCCCTAAAAGAAATTTCCTTGCTACGATGAATGCATTCCAGCAAAAACAATAAAAGGTCTGTAGCATTCACACTTTTTGTAATGCCAGTAATAATGCGAATGTAGTTTTCTTGAGAACTGAAACTTATATATTGGCATCGACGTCTAGAATAGCTCCTGTTAAGCTGTCCTGTAACTTTGAATCTGACTTGGTCAACGATTTCAAAATGAATGGAGTAACGAAGGAACAATTTTTGCTGTAATACAAAAAATATTTGATCTTGCTGGATTTGTGAGTCCTGTTCTCTTGTATCCTAAAATACTGTTGTAGAATCTATGGAAAATAGGAATTTCTTGGGAAATCATAAAAGGAAACTTTACGAATTGATATAAAGATTTTTTTCCCTAAAAGAAATTTCCTTGCTACGATGAATGCATTCCAGCAAAAACAATAAAAGGTCTGTAGCATTTACACTTTTTGTAATGCCAGTAATAATGCGAATGTAGTTTTCTTTAGAACTGAAACTTATCTATTGGCATCGACGTCTAGAATAGCTCCTGTTAAGTCTATCACGATTCCTCGTCTGGGGTTAATAGCAGCCATGACAGGAGCCAGATTATGCTTTTCTGTGTTTGATGAAATACAATGATGAAACGTTAAATGCATTTTTGAACAAATTCTAGGACATTTTTGATGCGGATACAAATAGAAAAGATATAGACTATTTTTGTAGAAAACAGAGTTAAGGAAATTAGGAAATTGACAGATCCAAATGCATGCAAACATATATCTGTAATAGATAATCCAGCTGACCTTACATGAAAACGTTGTACCGCCAAAAAACGTTTGGAAGTTAGATGGTGGGAGGACCCGAACAGGCTAAACAAAAATCAAGAAAAGTAG